GAACCGCCATTATGACGTCATCTGACCACACAAACATCCCAGGTGTTGCGCCAAGTGGCGTATCAAATTACTGCCAAACTCTGCTCTGATACAGAGAGTTGGCAGCCTTCACGATCACGCCAAAACAAGTTTAAGACAATAATATCATCATAAGACACTGGCGGGTCAGCAGCCTCAACAAGGTACAGCATGAATAACAGCAGTGGTTATAATAACAGCAGTACCATCAACAATGCTAATACTGCAGTAAAGTCATCATCAGCAGCACTCATATGGTTGGGTCGTTGTTTATGGGCATTATTTACTATGCCAGGGAGGAGGTGAGTGGTTCTTCTTATGGCGAGCCTCGCCGCCGCTCCCACAAGGTCCTCATCTCCAGCTAATAAAAACAAAATCCACACGTATGCGGTTAAACCTTCAACCACTACTGATTCTCTTGTATATCAATCTCATGCTCCCTTCCAGCACATTATTAATTAGTTTATTTGTGATGATAGTAATCAGTTTCCCCTCAAACAGAGCGTCACTTACTAATAAGGACCATAAATTGCGAATTAGGGAATATATCTTTAGATCTAAACCTTTCTGTACAGTATACTGGAAATGTTAGTGTTTAAGGATGAGCAAAACACCAGTATATGCCTTGGGGTTGTTGTTGCCGACCACTTAAGCTCAGGCTTTCAAATTGGCTCAGCCATGTTAATATTGTCCACTCTGTATCTATATTTTTCTGGCTAATTATCAATAACAAACAAGGTGGCATCTTATAACTGTTCACTAATACATGTCTACAATACTTAATTTACTACCAAACACAGGGGCGTGTCGAGCACCAGAGTAACACAACCTCTGGCTACTACCCGGAAGTCCCCCCCCCCACACACACAAAAACAACCCGGAAGTGGTGTTGCACAGTATTTATAAGCTGCAACTTATTGTTGTGCTTTTTTTTGTTGAATACGTGATCGTGAATGACTACTTTCCGTCCCGGATAAACGAGAAGTATTACTTACGAATCCCTGAGCCACGCCACGAGTTCTTCCATAAAACACTATACGGTACTGTGTATGTTGTGAGGTGAAGGTGTGAACAACACGCCCTTGACGACACACTACAGCCCATACTTTTTTAAGCATCTCTTAAAACATACACTGAATAGCTGTCCACATTATCCACATATATTCTTAGTGGTGTAAAATTTTTTCTATAAGGTTCACACTTCTAAGATTGTGTTTGCCGTTTCTTATAAAATAATTTGATACCAAGTCCCTGTACCGCTCCCTTCCTTAATTCAGAAAACATTAACAATAATTTCAAATATGAACATGTCCAATTATACATTATAGATTTGATAAACACCACTGACTATGAGCCACAAAATACTGTATGCAACTGACTGTTTTCATCTGTATTTGTTCACTGTCTTTTCTAGAGTGATATACAGCCCTCAAAAGGTTCAGCTATGTCAGTAATATTACGACTGTACGAAGCATAGGCGTAACTTTCTTGCTATATGAAATATTTCAATCAATTCAATTCAGTTGGTCGTCGCGTTATCATGTGTCCCTCTCGCGACTACTACAGGTATACACAAGGTTAGAGATAAGCCAAATTGGTGTAGGTTATGAGCAATAAGTTAACAGAGTCTTGACCGAAAAGGATAAAAGTATAAGTAAAACCTCTGGTGAGTCAGATGGTCAACAGAAGCTGGTAGTGGTTGGGTTCTATGACGTCAGAATGAAAGATGCAAGAACCAACCATCACATGCCATAGTCTCAGTGTCGTGGATCTTAATAAATAGAAGGTAAAATATGGCAGGAGTATATACTTGATAGGAGGCGGAGGAAGCAGGAGCAGGGAGGGACCCACCATCCACTCAATAATGTAAACAACGAACCTGATGGTAACACACACACACACACACACACACACACACACACACACACACACACACACACACACACACACACACACACACACACACACACACACACACACACACACACACACACACACACACACACACACACACACACACACACACACACACACACACACACACAAAATCCATACCCGTAATACAGGGTGACACAACACCACACAACACATCTATAATGCACAAAACAGGAGGCTTATACGCTACGTGTTGTGAACTGGGTAACGGCTGGCCGGAGGCAACAGACATGAATACAGGGCTCAGGTTCACGTGTTAGTGGTGATGAGGATCACACACACGTCACGAGTTGGAGGAATCAGTGTGGAGAGGTACAAAGGAGTGTCAGTTACAAGACTAGCGAGGTCATCATAAAACTTTATCTTGGGCTTGTGAGACCTCACTTGGATTACACGTTCAATTCTGGTCACCGTACTACAGAATGGATATAGAATCCCTAGAAAGAATCCAGAGGAGAATGACAAGTCTAATCCGGGCATTAGGAACCTTGAGTACAGAGACAGGTTAAAACATCTTAATCTGCACTCCTCCGGGGGAATGTGAGTGAGGGGCGATATGATCGAGGTTTATAAATGGAAGTCAGGGCTAAACAAAAGTGATATAACAAAGGTACTCAAACTATCCAACCAGGAGCGAACTCGTAACAATGTTTTAAATTAGACAAATTTAGATTTAGGCGAGAAATAGGTAAACACTGGTTTGGAAATAGAGTAGTGGATGAGTGGAACAAGTTACTAAACATCATCATTAACATGAACACGGTGGATGAGCTTCAAACGCAGGTTGGGCGGATATACAGTATGAGCGATAGGGATTGGGTGTAAACAGGACTGCCAGTATGGGTCAATAGGCCCGCTGCAGTTTCCTCAATTCTTATGTTCTTATTTAGGATTTGGTGGAATGGAGGGCGCGAGGGAAGGGAAAAGGGAGGGAGGAGGAGAGGGAGGAAAGGGGAGGGAGAGGGGAGGCGGAGGAAGAGGGAGGGCGAGGAGAGGGGCGAGGGGAGTGAGGAGGGAGGAAAGTGGAAAGGGAGGAGGAAAGTGGGAGGGAGGAAAGTGGGAGGGAGGGAAAGTGGAAGGGGGGGAGAGGGAGGGGGAAGGAAAAAGGCAGGGGAGAAAAGAAAGAAGTGGAAAGGGAAGAGGGGAGGAGAAGAGGAAAAGAGGGAGAAAGAGGGGGTAGGGTGGGTGAATTGGGAAGGGAGGGGCGCAGAGGAGGAGGAGAAAAATGGGAGGGAGGAAAAGAGGAAGGAAGAAAAATTTGAAGGGAGAGAGTGAAGAGGGAAAAAATGGGATTAAGGGACGGAGGGAGGGAAGGAAACTTGAAAGTGAGAAAAGGAAGCAGGCAGATGACGGGGAAGGGAGAGAAAGAGGAGTTGAGGAGAACACCAGAGAGGAAAGAAGAGGAACCAGAAGAAATGGGGAGGAAACGGATGGGTGAGAGACGAGGGAGAAAAGGATAAAAGGCAAGAAGGGAAGAATTTATAGGGAGGAGAGCGGGATTGATGGGGGCAAAATGCGTAGGAAGGGTAGGTACACGGTGAGAGGGTGTCGAGGGATGTTGGTGTGATGGGACATTGGGTGTACACAAGGGGATATTGTAATTACACGAGGGATATTGGGTGCAAAGGGGATATTGTGTACACGAGGGATATTGGTGTACACAAGGGATATTGGTGTACACAAGGGATATTGGTGTACACGATGGGACATTGGTGTACACAAGGGGATGTGGTGTACACAAGGGGATATTGTAGGTATACACAAGGGAATATTGGTGTCCACGATGGGACATTGTTGTACACGATGGGACATTGATTGTACACAAAGGGTGTGTGGTACACGAGGGGATATTGGTGTACACAAGGGGATATTGGTGACACGATGGGACATTGGTGTACAAGGATATTGGTGTACACAAGGGGATATTGGTTGTACGATGGGATATTGGTGTACACAAAGGGGATATTGGTGTACACGAGGATATGTGGTGTACACGAGGGGATATTGGTGTACACGGGGATGTCTGGTGTACACGATGGGATATTGATGTACGGTGGGATATTGTGGTGTACACGAAGGGATATTGGTGTACACGAGGGATATTGGTGTACACGAGGGATATTGATGTACACGAGGGGATATTGTTGATGTACACGAAGGGATATTGGTGTACACGAGGGGATATTGGTGTACACGAGGGGATATTGGTGTACACGATGGGATATTGATGTACACGGTGGGATATTGGTGTACACGAAGGGATATTGGTGTACACGAGGGATGTAATGGTGTACACGAGGATATTGATGTACACGGTGGGATATTGGTGTACACGAAGGGGATATTGGTGTACACGAGGGGATATTGGTGTACACGAGGGATATTGATGTACACGAAGGGATATTGATGTACACGAGGGGATATTGGTGTACACGAGGGGATATTGGTGTACACGAGGGATATTGATGTACACGATGGGATATTGAGTGTACACGGTGGGATATTGGTGTACAGAGGGATATTGGTGTACACGAGGGATTGTGGTGTACACGAGGGGATATTGATGTACACGAAGGGATATTGATGTTACACGAGGGGATATTGGTACACGAGGATTGGTGTACACGAGGGGATATTGATGTACACGATGGGATATTGATGTACACGGTGGGATATTGTGTGTACACGGGGGATATTGGTGTACACGAGGGATATTGGTGTACACGAGGGATATTGGTGTACACGAGGGGATATTGATGTACACGAGGGGATATTGATGTACACGAGGATACTGGTGTACACGGTGGGATACTGGTGTACACAACACTACCAACACTGCTACTACCTGTGATAGCTACACCTGAAGGGAGGTAGGAGTTTCTCACCAGTACAGTACAGAGCATGACCGTTGTTGTACTTCAGAGTAAGGAGCCGGAGAAACATACAATACTACCTGCCACCAATACAAGGTAACACTGGAGTAGAGGGTCTACAAGGTAACACTGGGTAGAGGGTATAAAAGGTAACAATGGTACAAGGGTACTCACCAGTATACAGTTGGGCTTGTAGCAGCCACAGGTTGACCTTCTTGTCATCGCCGCCGAACCAGCACCGGCCAGACTTGTGGCCCAGCGCCAGGCAGTTCACATTGATCATGCGCCTGAACTCTTCTGCAAAAATAATATTTCTCTTAATTCACGAAGACAACTGCTAATGTCTCACATCTAAACTTTACAACTACTTTCTGAATTGAAAAAAAAAACCTCCCAATTATAATACCATCATCTGCATACCGAAGGAGGTGACTCACTCAGTGTTGTGGCTCGTAGGTCCCCACACCTACAACAAGGTTTTCACGGAACACACACACACACACAACTACTATAATTACACAGATAGCTGCACATCACCACCACTGAATAGAACAACATGTATGATTATCTTGGTGTTGAAGCTATTGTAATAATAATTTTAGGGATCAGGATTCAGGACCTGAGTTTCATGTAAATTGTCGCATGGAAAAAAGCAAGGAGTTGACAACCTCTGCCCTATACTTTGATGGGGGTGAGACTATGTGAAATTTGTTCTAGACAGGAGTTGTAGTTGAACTCTTCTTCTGAACTGCCCACTGACTACACGATGACCATGTTCAAAATTCAGTATAATCATGATTTCCGATTTCAAACGGCCAAGGACAAGTGGCGTTCCCATCCAGGTGGTGGTAGTAAGCACAACCTCAGGAACTGCCCTCCTAGCTACTCATTGTAGCCACAACACATTCACACAGCACTCCTCTCCTGGCTCAATACTAACGGTCCGATATTTCGCCAAACTTCCAAGTCCCCTCTCGACTCCCCTCCACAGTTTAAACCACGGTCGTCCTTAAGGTCGCCTCCTCAGCTCCTGCCAACCCGTCTCCAAGACACTCCAGGTCCACGACCAGGATGGACTCGCTAATAATTTACACCTTTGAAAAGGTAGAGCTAAAAAGATGAGAAGTGTGTAGCAGGGTGCAGGTGAGGGGTTAATGGTGCCCCAGTGGAGAGTGAGGGGTTGTGTTGCCCCCGGTTGGAGAGTGGGGTTGTGGTGCCCCGGTGGAGAGTGGGGGTTGTGGTGCCCCGGTGGAGTGGGGTTGTGGTGCCCAAGTGAAGTGAGGGTTGTGGTGCCAGTGGAAGTGGGGGTTGTGGTGCCCCCAGTGGAGAGTGGGGGTTGTGGTGCCCGGTGGAGAGTGAGGGGTTGTGGTGCCCCAGTGAAGAGTGAGGGTTGTGGTGCCCCAGGTGGAGAGGTGGGGTTGTGGTGCCCCAGTGGAGTGGGGGGTTGTGGTGCCCGGTGGAGAGTGAGGTTTGGGGTGCCCCCGGTGAAGAGTGAGGGTTGTGGGTGCCCGGTGGAGAGTGAGGGTTGTGGTGCCCCGGTGGAGAGGGAGAGGTTGTGGTGCCCCGGTGGAGGGAGCAAGAGAAGGTGCGTGATGACGGCCGTCATTACTACATTCCAGGAGTATTGGCGGTGTGCACACCACCTGCTCACACCAAGCCCCAGCTGGACACACCACGTGTCGTGGGGCTGGCGTCACGTGCAGTGTCCTTACACCACCTGCCATTCCCACACCACCTAAACTCACCCACACGCTCCCACAACACCACCTAACCTTCCCCCTTTCACAACACCACCGCCTACACCTTCACCCTGGGTAAGGCCGCTGCCCTTCACAACCCACACACCAGACACGTCACCGTAACACAAGTTTACCAACAAAGCTTTTGGGAGGTTTTATGACCACTGCCAGAGACGCGGCCGCTGCCAACCTTCCCTGTAAGACTTTATGACCCAGCTGGATAGTGCTGCTGCTCACACGCCCTGGCACTGCATTCTTATTTTACGACTGAAAAACAAACCATCGCCTTCCTACAATTATCAAAGCACAAAGAAGAGAGTAAGGGTGATATCGTTAGCTCTATGGGAGTTCAAGAGTCTTGATTATCTGTCCGGAAGGTCATGTGTCTTGGTTATCTGTACAGAAGGTTACGTGTCTTGGTTTATCTGTATGGGAGGTCATGTGTCTTGGTTATCTGTACAGAAGGTTACGTGTCTTGGTTATCTGTATGGGGTCATGTGTCTTGGTTATCTGTACGGGAGGTGTGTGTCTTGGTTATCTGTACGGAAGGTCATGTGTCTTGGTTATCTGTACAGAGGTTACGTGTCTTGGTTATCTGTACGGGGGTCATGTGTCTTGATTTATCTGTACAGGAGTCATGTGCTTGGTTATCTGTACAGAAGGTTCATTGTCTTGGTTATCTGTACGGGAGGTCATGTGTCTTGGTTATCTGTACAGAAGGTTGCGTGTCTTGGTTGTCTGTACGGGAGGTCATGTGTCTTGGTTATCTGTACAGAAGGTTACGTGTCTTGTTTATCTGTACGGGAGGTCATGTGTCTTGGTTATCTGTACAGGTTACGTGTCTTGGTTATCTGTATGGGAGGTCATGTGTCTTGGTTATCTGTACGGGAGGTCATGTGTCTTGGTTATCTGTACAGAAGGTTACGTGTCTTGGTTATCTGTACAGGAGGTCATGTGTCTTAGTTATCTGTACAGGAGGTCATGTGTCTTGGTTATCTGTACAGAAGGTTACGTGTCTTGGTTATCTGTCGGAGGTCATGTGTCTTGGTTATCTGTACAGGGAGGTCATGTGTCTTGGTTATCTGTACGGGAGGTCATGTGTCTTGATTTATCTGTACGGGAGGACATGTGTCTTAGTTATCTGCAGGAGGTCATGTGTCTTGGTTATCTGTACAGGAGGTCATGTGTCTTGGTTATCTGTACGGGAGGTCGTGTGTCTTGGTTATATGTACGGAAGGTCATGTGTCCTGGTTATCTGTAAGGAGGTCACGTGTCTTGGTTTATCTGTACGGAAGGTCATGTGTCTTGCTGTACGGGGAGGTCATGCGTCTTGGTGATCTGTAGGAAGGTCATGTGTCTTGGTTATCTGTACGGAAGGTCATGTGTCTTGGTGATCTGCATGGAAGGTCATGTGTCTTGGTTATCTGTAAGAGGAAGGTCATGTGTCCTGGTTATTTGTATGGAATGTCATGTCTTAGTTATCTGTACAGGTCATGTGTCTTAGTGGTCTGCATGGAAGGTCATGTGTCTTGATTTGTCTGTACAGGTCATGTGTCTTGGTGATCTGTATGGAAGGTCATATGTCTTGGTTATCTGTACAGGTCATGTGTCCTGGTTATCTCTGCTGAAGGTCAGTCGTCGAGTCCCACGGGTTGTGTATTGACCAATGTCTGGCTCGTCTACCAAAGTAGCCTTGCGTGAGTGTTGGGGAGCCTTCCTCCACCACTACACCCACACCCCATCACTACACCCTCTACTCCATCCTACCACTACTATCCCTCACCCCATCACTACACCCTGTACACACCCCTACTATCCCTCACCCCATCACTACACCCTCTACACACCACCTTCCTCCCCCATCACTACACCCTCTACCCCACCACTATCCCTCACCCCATCACTACACCCTCACACACCACTACTATCCCTCCCCCATCACTACACCTGTACACACCCCTACTTCCCTCACCCCATCACTACACCTCTACACCACTACTATCCCTCACCCCATCCTACCCTCTACACTACTTCCCTCACCCCATCACTCCATCCTATACACCACTACTATCCCTCACCCCATCACTACACCCTCTACACACCACTACTATCCCTCACCCCATCACTACACCCTCTACACACCACTACTATCCCACACCCCATCACTACACCCCCACCACACCACAGTCAACGGCCGGAAATAAACCACCTCTAATACCGAGACAAATTTCTCTTAAACCCGTGTCAGAATATACTTTATAAACCCACAGTTAAAAAATAAACCTCGAGATAAAAAAAAGAGACTATTATTCCAGAGACTGTTACCCTTCACGTCCACGAGATAACAAGAGAGTGTTGTGTAATTATGAAGAGGTACGGGCGTATAGGTGCGTTTACCATAAAGGTTTAGTATTGGGTGCTCCTCCTCCTCCTCCTAATTACAGTATAAGACTCTACAATAAAACCTTAACCCAGCCACAACATATTTATAATACTGAAATAAAAAGTAAGCCACATTAATTGCGACCTTGAGGTTTTACTACTTAATTATATACTGGAATTTAAGGATTATTTTAACAAGTCGCATTCTAGTGTATAATGAAAGAGTTACCATAAAAAATTCGCTATCAACAAATTTGGTGTTTTTGGCAGTGTTATCTTTATGTTTTTATTTATATTGTTACTATAAGAAGTTTTTATTTATTCTGACTTTGTTTGTAATGTGTAAGTAACCTACCAAGAGTTTTTGAGAGAGAGAGAGAGAGAGAGAGAGAGAGAGAGAGAGAGAGAGAGAGAGAGAATACCCGGTCATGTGGTAGGGGTGAGAGGTAATGGAGAGAGAACACACATTAATACATGGAGTAGCTGAGCTCCTCCTAGAGATAATACTAACAGTGTTTTCATCCAATAAAAACACCGAAAATATATAAACAACATAAGCAAACTTATTGTCAGCAGCAGCAGCAGGGGAGGGAGGCGGCAGTCGGAGGGAGGCAGCAGCAAGGAGGGAGGCAGCAGCAGGAGGGAGAGCAGCAGCAAGAGGGAGAGGCAGCAGCAGGAGGGAGGCAGCAGCACTTGGGAGGGAGGCAGTAGCAGGAGGGAGGCAGCAGCAGGAAGGGAGGAAGCAGCAGGAGGGAGGCGAAAAGCAGCAGGAAGGGGAGGCAGCAGCAGGAGGGAGAGCAGCAGGAGGGAGGCTGGCAGCAGGAGGGAGGCAGCCTTGCTTGGGAGGAGGGAGGCAGCAGCTTGGGGAGGGAGGCAGCAGCAGGAGGGGAGGCGGCAGCAGGAGGGAGGCAGCAGCAAGAGGGAGAGGCAGCAGCAGGAGGGAGGCAGCAGCAGGGAGGGGAGGCAGTATTAGCAGGGAGGGGGGAGGCAGCAGCAGGAAGGGGAGGAAGCAGCAGGAGGGAGGCAGCTTAGCAGGAAGGGGAGGCAGCAGCAGGAGGGAGAGGCAGCAGCAGGAGGGAGGCAGCAGCAGGAAGGAGGCAGCAGCAGGAGGAGGCAGCAGCAGAAGAGAGGCAGCAGCAGGAGGGGGAGGCAGCAGCAGAGCAGCAGCAGGAGGGAGGCAGCAGCAGGAGGAGGGAGAGGGCAGCAGCAGGAAGGGGAGGCAGCAGCAGGAGGGGAGGCAGCAGGAGGGAGGCGGCAGCAGGAGGGAGGAGAGCAGCAGCAGGAAGGGAGGCAGCAGCTTGGGGAGAGGAGGCAGCAGCAGGAGGGAGAGGCAGCAGCAGGAGAGGGAGGTAGCAGCAGGAAGGGGAGGCAGCAGCAGGAGGGAGAGGCAGCAGCAGGGGAGGAGGAAGCAGCTTGGGAGAGGGAGGCAGCAGCAGGAGGGACGTAGCAGCAGGAGAGGGACGTAGCAGCAGGGAGAGGGACATGCTTGGCAGGAGGGACGTAGCAGCAGGGAGGAGAGGCAGCAGCAGGAAGGGAGACAGCAAGAGGCGGGACAGCAGGAGAGGGAGACATGAGGGGGAGACAGCAGCAAGGGAGACAACAGTAATGGAGGCAGCAGGATAGGGAGACAGCAGGAGGGAGAGGCAGCAACAGGGGAGACAACAACAAAAGCCTCCTCAGAACAAAAAGTGAAGCGTGGTCAAGAGCTGTGAGAGGAGTATCAACAACACGAGAAGAGGTTCACCTTCACCAGGTGGTGACCAGGTGGACCTCCTTCCTGTGCAACAACACTCCCGCCTCTCATGCCCTCCACACACCCTGATGTGGGCGGCACCCACACCTGGGCGTGGGTACCGCCCACGGCCCGCCCACACAGTGACGATGTAGAGTAAAGGAATCCACGAAAACTTGCTTTTTTGGACGTGTCTGTAGTATGGAGGGGTTAACGTGAACACAAAGAGTGTGTGTATCATGCTACTCCTACATAGGAATTAATAATAGTATAAAATATAAAATATTGTTTACCCGAGTGCTTGTTAAGTTACAGGTACCTTGTTATTCAAGGTACTGTATGTACTACACCAACAACACAAGAAATTAAACAATTGCATAATAGTGTATACCTTCTGGGCCAAGAAAAATATATTAATATATTTTAAAGTAGCTAAGGTTGATTTGCATTACCAAGCTATTCACATTTCATCCTGGGTGAATGAAGTAGTAGTGATATAAAACGACTGTGTGTATAATACTGTACAAGTATAAGGCCAAGTGACAGTCAAGAAGCACCACCTACACCCAACTAAAATAAACTATTCTTTGTCCTACATATTGTACAGTTCATCTGTACTACCAAGCACACCACTGTGAATTATATGACAGTGTTGAACCATTATACAGTCAGGACAAAGTTCCATGCCCCACAATAAATATACTGCATATCATCATAGATCCTGTATACATAACATAAGTAACAAGCTTATAATGGACAAATAGCCCCTTCTTAATCCTTAAACGCACGCACGCACGCACACGCACACACACACACACACACACACACACACACACACACACACACACACACACACACACACACCCCGATAACAACAACAAAGCTCAACCAGGATACGAGCTGGTATCAAGACAGAGGATGTTCCCTAGATAATAAAATAAACGTCAGGAAAATAACATTACATAACCAAGAGAAACACAGTCAGCTACTGTAAATATGTTGATAATATAACAACATGACAATACAAAAATAACAAGAGAAGGACGAGTGATAACAATGAAGAGGAAAGTAAATAACTATAGAACATAAATAACAAGGGTTAGAATAACGCTGAGGAAAGAAAACACATTTATTATGCCAGAGAGGTTAAAGGTTACACAGTATTCAGATATCAAATATAATGACAACTGTTGAGACAATTATTACCACGAAACAGACAAGAAGCAGGAAACATATTAAGGAAAACTTGAAAGAAATTGCACCCACTAAAAAGAATCACACACGAAAAGAGGAAAAAGAGACGCGACAGTAAAAGTAAATGTGTGGAGAGAGAGAGAGAGAGAGATCGGCATAAAAGACAAGAATGAGACTGAGAAATGAGAAGACAAACTTTTAACACAAGGGGCTGAGGGAAGGTGAGAGAAGAGAGAGTACAAGAGACAATAGTGAGAGATCCACTACAGGACACAATGACACCACACGATGAGACACACACCACCAACTGTGTCATGAGTCGCAAGTGATGGGAGAAACGAGGTCACTGTTAACTGATGACTTATGTAGTGGTAAGTGAAGATAACACGAGGTCACACTTAACTATGACTTATGTAGTGGTAAGTGAAGATAACACGAGGTCACACTTAACTATGACTTATGTAGTGGTAAGTGAAGATAACACGAGGTCACACTTAACTATGACTTATGTAGTGGTAAGTGAAGATAACACAAGGTCACACTTAACTATGACTTATGTAGTGGTAAGTGAAGATAACACGAGGTCACACTTAACTATGACTTATGTAGTGGTAAGTGAAGGTAACACGAGGTCACACTTAACTATGACTTATGTAGTGGTAAGTGAAGATAACACGAGGTCACACTTAACTATGACTTATGTAGTGGTAAGTGAAGATAACACGGGGTCACACTTAACTATGACTTATGTAGTGGTAAGTGAAGATAACACGAGGTCACACTTAACTATGACTTATGTAGTGGTAAGTGAAGATAACACGAGGTCACACTTAACTATGACTTATGTAGTGGTAAGTGAAGATAACACGAGGTCACACTTAACTATGACTTATGCTTCACAACTATGACTTATGTAGTGGTAAGTGAAGATAACACGAGGTCACACTTAACTATGACTTATGTAGTGGTAAGTGAAGATAACACGAGGTCACACTTAACTATGACTTATGTAGTGGTAAGTGAAGATAACACGAGGTCACACTTA